TGACTACGGCAGACTTTGAAACGCACCGGTCGTACCACACGGGTAGGAATTCATTTACAATGTCCGCCGAGAACGGCAAAATTTTGGGCAGAGATGCGCCCTCCGTGTCAGAAAAGCAAACTGCGTTGAGCGCTTATATGCGTCTTCCGTGTCACAAAAGCAAAATTTCTGAGCGCGTATATGCGCCCACAGTAGCCAAGGGGTTAAAACGCACCTAAAATCCTTGCGAAACGCACCTGGCAGTGCGTAGCATGAATGAGTATAAGAAAGGATGTCAAGTGATGTTAGAGTCAGTGCCAAGTTGCTAGTGTAGATTGCGAATACGAGAGAACATTGTCGAGTTCTGCGAATCAGTAGCAAGTTGTATTAGCGAATTTTATGTAATAAATAATATCGGTGAAGAGAGATGACTTTATCTCCGTCGTACCGATTCCTACACAAATTAGAAATAAATAGCAATTTGGATAAAAGTAAAAAGTTAAAGTGTTTAAGGAGAAATGGCCTTAGTCAGGAAGGGTTAGAGAACTTGTATATGGAGAACAAGATAAACGAGACAGAAATTAAGAAGAGACTAACAAAACAGATAGGGTGATATAGCTGTAAGTGCAATATGAGAGGATCGTCTCATGATATAACCGTAGATTTAACACTAGAACTACCGATCTTTAATGGGTACCTAACTATAACGTGCACAGATTATAGTAATTTCAGCGGTACGATGAATATGAGTGAATATATTGATTACAGTTCTTTTTTAACACTTACAACAGCCGACCGCACGCTCCAGAGCGAACTATACGGTTTCCACCGCGCTCGGGAAACACAAACTGCGCTGTCGGAACACAAACTGCATTTTTTGGAAATACCGAATAAGGGGCCTTAAAAATTGGTGAATTTTATTACGTTGTGCTCTGTAGAAGCAGTTCGTCAGTAATTGCGAACAATTCCAAATGGAGGTAGTGTAAGTAATAACCGAAAACGAGAAACGCGTTGCTAAGGTCAAAATGGGAGATCTCCCCGATCGGTCGGGCACCGACTTTAAAATGGGGAGATCTCCCCGATCGGTCGACTAAGTGTTAATATGAGTTGATACCAATTTTATTCTTAAAGCAGGTGTATGTGTTCGGTGATTGCAAAAAGGAAAATTCTGGGATCAATCATTTTGACTGGGTTGGTAGTTCTAGTGTTAAGCAGATATAACCAGTCAGCTATGGCGACCATTTTGCAGAGCGCGCATCTATATGAGGCGCGAGAATCAAGCGATGGCGGATATAGTTATCAAACACGGAGCAGGTGGCGCTGTTAAAATATTGGATCAAAAAGACGGCGTTATTGTATAAAATGAACAATTTTATTACTAATATTTACTCAGTCACTTAACGTAAACATATACTACATATATAATAAACGAAAAACTCAGGAATAATCTTGACATTTTCGATTAATGTCGTGATGAGCTAAAAATTTTGCTTAAATAAAGGAATCAAAATCTATAGATTCTATTCTAGCTATTTAGAGTTCTATACATTTTGACTAAATAATTTAATTGTATTGACATTTTCGACTAATATCGTGATGAGCTACAAATTTTTCATAAATAAAATTTCCGGCCAGTGTATACGGGGATGCATAAATCCATCTCAAATTATTTATACTATTTATTTGTTTGCTTTATTTCGTCTTGCCCTTCGAAGATTTGAAACATATTGAAATTTACGAATATATTTTAGTTTTCGCTAAAATTACAATTTAAATAGCAAATGGTAACTAAATTTTACGCATGACGGGTATAGTCGTCATGACACGAAATAATGTCATTTCTCGGATCTAGATGACGGATGTAATCATCAAACACAGCTGACTGGATAAGTTATTCTCTAAGGTCGGTGTACTAGACAAGGAAAAAAGCAAGGGGACTCAAAATATAATATCCAGGGTAAGAAGCTTAATCTTCTTGAAGAATATAGTAAGTACTGGTTAAAGGAAGCGGAGAGATTATGTAAATTATGCGAGCAGGGATACGACACATTAATGTACCTAATATAATATATTATATATTATAATATATAGTACTTATTATAATTATATTATAAGAATGCGAGGAAGCAGAGAAGACAGGATATAAATTAATACAAGTGTTAAACAGCAGATATAAAGAAAACGTGGTTAATTGGTTTAGGGATGTAGAGAAAAGGGAAATGAGAGAGAGTAAAAGCAATTAGCAGTAGTGTGGAAGATTTATAGAGTGCACGTACGTGTGTAAGCGTGGATATAATTAACCTCGTATGCTAAGTTCATCTCTAGACCGAGGGGCTGAAATAAACTATTATTATTATTATAAAATAATGTCAAGCACAATTGAAAATCAGGCCTAAAAGAATTGTTGCAATTTTACCACTACCTTCCATTCTCATCTAAAAAAGATACTCAAGTGATGCATGAAGGGAGAATGTCCACAATAACTGCATTTTTTCGATAAGACTCGAATAATAAACAATTTTCAAAACAAAAATCTACATATTTGTACGTCAGAATATTAATGATCAATTTTCGCGGCAATTGAATGGCGCCAGTTGCTACCGATTTGAGTTCACTATAGTCCGTTACAAAATGGATTTTATTGCATAACGATGTCGAAGAAATGTAGCTTCTGCCAAAGCTAAATATATATTTCTACAATAAATATATAGATTTTTAGTGCCTAAGCGTGTACTCTGCGAATAATTGTAGAATGCCAATTAGTGCTTGGTAAACTGATGACGATGACGAATTATTGTTTAAAATCGTTTAAAATCCTTCACGATAAATCTCCGATTTGATTGAGGCGTGTCTTCGAAATGTAACTAAATATCTTCGAAATAATTTTAGAATATCCGCAATTTAGCTGTACAACGAGTGTTTTTGAGTTTCTGCCTGAAATCTCCTACGTGTGTCTTAATATAACCTCTGTTGCGTTGTGATTGACCATTTGACTGTGATAAATGCGCGCTACAGATGATTCTGTGCTGGGTAATATTTTCGGTGATGAGTGTGCCAATGTCATTATAAATCGTCACATTCGTACATTTCGTAGATAAATAAATATCAAATGAACGAAAAACGTAGCCAAGATGTAAGGAATCAAGTTTGACTCGATTACAGTTCAGAATTTCTTCGACTTCAGAGTTAGATAACGAAGTCTTAGAAATTACGTCATTACATTTGACGGATTTCGCGTACTCGAATGGGTCAGTGTTCGGAACAATGAAATGCAATTAATGAACATTTGAAAATCCACTTGTTACTCGTCCCTAGCGATTGTCTAAGATTAACTCAGCAGCGGTCGTGATAGAATCGTGTATCAGTGAGGCTAACACTGTAACGACTAGGAAAATAACGTTCTAATGATAACTAATGTTATATCTACTGGAAACGCCAATTGGTAATGAGATAATCATATCGCGACGTGTAATCATTGGAAACGTTTACATTCTTGTTAAAAAGTGCACATACGTATGTGGAGTTTTTAAATATATATATAGCATCGTATTAACGACCTTCGTTGCAACCTCGCGAAGGAAATGATCACATTTCGTTTACACTGACTAATGACAAATTACAAATGATAGATAATGTATAATAAAAATATACGCTGACAAAAGTTAAGAAACAATGTAGTCAATTGAGAATTTTTATATATCCTTTATCTTTTCATATGCGGTATAGAGATATATGAAAAATGGAATAGAGATAAAATATTTCATGATATCTTAATAGACAGTAAGTTCTCTGCAAATAACGGGTATTATTTTTATATTTATTTATACAAAATATCATTGTACTATTATTTTTATATTTATTTATACATAATATAATAATACTATTATTTTTAGATTTATTTATACATAATATCATTGTAATTTTTGTGTATTCGAATATTCTTTGGAATATGAGATAAAGGATATGCAAAAATTCGAAAATCGACTTTGCTTTTTAACTATTGGTAGTAAAAGTATATAGTGCAGATGAAATAATTTAAAACAAATCACTGACCAATATTTAGAGTCATTTATTCATTCGTACACGAGTACTCGTGATAATTCAGTTTTTTTTTTTTTAATTAAGTATTATCAACTATGAAAAATACGGAGAAAATAATAAGAAAGAAAACAATATTATGTAAACTCTATATGAATTTTAGAAAGTTCGTACAGCTTTCGTAATTGAAAATAAACAATGTTCATTCTTACATTCATCGCTCGATTTATTTATTTAATACACTGTGGAGCTTTTATATCTCGTTTTTCAAGAAATTTGCGTTTCTTTTTGTAATATTTACTTACGAGGATTAGTGTTTTATTCGGCTCTTATTTCTAAATATTCTTTTTGTTATACAAAAATGAGTCAAAATAAGACAAAAGAAAGTGATCAATCAGTGATAAAACACCTGAAAATCTTTAATCCGATGTATCAAACCTTGGCTTTAATATTTGTATTAGGTTAACTTGACTTTATTTATTCTTTTCATTGTCTTTGTTAATTTAATTCTAAATTAATCTTCCAATTAATCTAACAATTTCTAAATTATATATAATTAAATAAAAACTGTTATTTTACGATTATGAGACTTTTTGACAAACGTTCTACACGAAATATCGTTTTCGCGTGATTTCTTTCCTTTTTCTTTGCATAGCTTTCGTCTTATATATTCATATATAAAGTTTTTTAATTTTACAATGCAAGTAATTGTATTTTCAAACTTGACAGGTATCTTAAAATCGACTTTTTTAGAAGGAAGTACGTTAACAACCAATTTTTTATTAATTGATTTAAAATTTTTAATTTAAATACGCGATGCACGAATGTAACAAGATAAAATGTAAACATGGAATAAAAGATGTAAAAGATTTTGACGGTAAATATGAGGTAACTTCGTGGAAGGAGCTGTACGATCTTTCTGCAATAGCTAACGAATGAATGAATAATAAAACAGGCTCAAAGGTAAAAAAAAATAGTCATACTATGAAATCAGGATTTGCTATGGCAGCATTGGTCATTGCTTCTAACGTCACCGATGTGGTTACTCTAATGGCATAGCAACAGAAGAAACCCAGAGCCATCAAAAGGATCTGCAAGTGTCTACGCCCAAACCGTGCTGTAAATTATAAATTACACGTTTATTAATAGTCAGTATTAATTACACATTAGTTAAGATAACGAGGAATAAATATAATAATAACAGAAATGATAATATCAATTCAAAAATGTTAAATATTATAAATAAATAAAGTCTTTATTATAATTCATAAATCATGACCAAAACAATACTGAAGGGAAACTTTCTTGACATCTTCCCACTCCTAAATCAAAGGTCCTTCCAAAACACCCTTGTCCAATCAAAAACTATATCTTTCCTCCACGCACAACCACTCTAAACCAATCAACAAAAACCGTGAGGAGACACTAAACAGAACACAATTAGACAAGATGGACGCTAATTAGAACTTGAAGATTAGAAGATGTAAGAAGAAAGGCGAAGACACCATATATGACGTAAAACGGAATATGAGCACGATACCCAACATGTAGGATTGGAATGAGTATGGTCTTGGAAGAGTGTTGGGAGTGTTTAAACTTAGAACAAAGGTGACCACGCGCAAGAGAATCAAATGGATACGTATGACAGAGTCGATTGCTATAGACGAGTGGAAGGTAGTTTATGAGTGCAGTGTGTGTTGAAGTACCTGGTCCACCGAGGTTGCGGGGAAAGAGGCATGATTGGGAAGGAATGTATGGTTTAAATAAGGGTGCAAGGGTACGGACGAGTCAGTGTGTAAGAAGTCTAAGTCAATCTAACAGTTCAGTCTAAGACAGTACATCAGTCAGTCCAAGAATGTCAAAACACATTAAGTGCCGGCGGCATATGAGACATTTAAAGCCTGAGCGACGGCCTCATTCGCTTGTTTCCGAACAATGAGTAGCTAAAGAAAATATTTAAAACTTATACATTTTCTTAAAATACTATATTTTCATTGCATATTCGTCATTCTGTGGACATTTCGCTATTACTAGAATCATCGGAATCACTCGAATATTGTAATGGAACAGCTCTTGATATTCTCCTTGGATCCAAATCGCTATCACTGTCCTCGACTCGTGTGTCAGAATCTTCCGAATGTATCGAATAATCTGATAGAGTGTCAGCAATATACTCGTTAAAAGTTCGTAATGGAACAGCTCTTGATATTCTCCTTGGATCCAAATCACTATCACTGTCCTCGACTCGTATGTCAGAATCTTCCGAATGTATCGAATAATCTGATAGAGTGTCAGCGATATACTCGTTAAAAGCTTCGCTCATATTATATGAATAAAAAGTTACAGAATAATAAGACTTATTATATTGTTCAACGAAAAGAGTAAACCTACGAAAGGGGTACTAACTAAGGAATACACTGCTTGAGAGTGATTCTCGCTTTGATGTTTCTGAACCATCGTATACGTTTTATTTTCGGAGTATAGCAAATGCAGATTGTCGTAAACGTGACAAGTGAATGCAAATTGACGTGTAAGACATCCATACAAGTAAAAAAAATCCTCATCATCGTGAGGGCGAGAGTCAAGTGACAAACTTAGAAACCCGCATTATAGTGGGCCCGGCGCTCAAGTGACAGACTCAGAAACCCGCGTTTTCATGGGACCGGCGCTCAATGTGTTAAGAATGATCAGAAGAGCGTGCCCATAGCAAATCTCTCTTGTGTCATAGTCTTCATTCTATTTGTAAGCTTATTCTATTTTATTAAGAAGCCAATAATACTGTCTTAAGTCAGTCCATCCAAAATCCTACATACATCTACACCGATCATTCAAATCGTGATCATCAGTGTAATAAAGCATATATAAACAAAACTGCTCCTTATTACGCACCCAAGTGCTCAATACCTCGATAAGTTCGTCATACTGAGAGAAGGCAACCACTTAGACAAACCCACGGCTGCCTTCGTGCAACAAATGGAAAAAATTCGGTCATGAAAGAACGTTAAAAATGTTTGGGACCTAGGACGTATGTAAGTGACTGCGTGCAAGAGCATACATTATAAGGGATATTCATGACAGAGCCGAATGCGAGCAATAAGCGAAAATTTAGAAATGCGTCCTAAATGTTTGAAGTATTAATAAGAAAATACCTGGTCCATAGAGGTAGAAATCCATGATTGAGGAAGAAAGCCCGAGTATGAAAGAAGAGTATGTAAAGTTAAAATAAGGGTGCAAGGATGCGAGCAGGTCAGTTACGAGTTGGAAGTCAGCCGTAGAAATCAGTCGAAAAGTCTTAAAGCTAGTTGCGAGTTGGAAGACAGTCGTAAATGTTGTAATGATAATTAAATCGTAAAGTCGTAACGAAAGTCGTAAAAGAAACTTATCAGTGTGTCAGAAAGAGAGTTGTAAATGGCATGGGAGTTGAAAGGTCGAGTGAAGTCCTGGTCAATCGAGACAAGTGTGCATAGTTATTACTCTATTAATCTGTCATTCTATTAATAAAGCTTATTTTATTTTATCAAGCATTACAATATTATTCTTGACGATCGCTCTAAATACGATCCTACGTTTCTTTTCTGTTGGACTCATTTATTTCAAGTTATTTTACGAATTATGAAATTTTCTTTTTTCAAATTATTTTATTACTAATGAAATAAAGGTAATTGTACTTTATTTTGTTTATTAGCTAGCAAATTTTCAATAGCTTTCCGATTACTACGAAGGAAAAGGAAAATTCATAAATATAATTTGAAATAAATATTAATTAATTTAATTTTAACACGTGTGTTATAATTTATTAAATATTATATAACGCAGACGTTAATTCGTATTTTCTTAATTAAACAATCCAAGGTTCTTTGTTACGGAAAAAGTGATTCCAAACATTTGAAGGATAGTGTATAATCGTAACTTGGTTCTTACAATTAGAGAAGACATACGTTGCAACAGAGTGTATACTATTATATTCTGTATTATATTATATTCTAATTTATTTTACGGCAATATTGTCTGATTTTTTCTCTTTTTATTCTTATTTATTGCAATAAAGCATATGCAAAGTACCTTACCTTGGTATGGTATGCTTAAAGCAGAGAAAACGATATTAAATGAAAGTATTTGAAATAAACAAATGTTTATATTTAAGAAATGGTGGTCAATGAACGCTATCTCTTGCTTATCAATACAAATGACAGTGTCAACGGTTCCACGTTTATCATCTGTTACGCAATTGGGGAAACGTCAATTTCGTTGGTTTATTAAAGCCTTGCACTACGATTTAATTATGAAAAATTATGTATCCAAGTAATATTTAATTTTAGTTAACCACTGTATGCCTATTCTATCTACGATAAAATTAGATAAATATTTTAGAAATTCTTTAAATTTTGGATATGTGAAAACCCATGAAATATAATTATGATCGCGTGATTAGTATAGCTTATGATCGTGAGATTTGTCTAATCAAAAATAGACATATTTTTATTTTGAAGGAATCGTTTTAATGAATTCTACCCGTATAATAATTTATTAATAATAATAAATAATGATAATTTATTAATTTATTAATAATTTATTCTTTTGTAATGATAATGCAGTATTTTGTGTTCTTAACGTAACAAAATGGAAAAAAAAATATAAACAATGAAAAGAATAAAAATGTTTTCACGAAAGCGAGAACGCAACTTTTTATTGATATAGAAAATTTTTTAAAAATTTGACACTGTATCGTACATTTTGAAAAATTTAATGAAAAACACAGTTCGGAATTTTCACAGTAATATTGGATTGTTTTCGTTTTATTGGAACAGTCAACCCAAATTCGATATGTGTCCTTTCCTGTTTATGGTGCAAATGAACTAAAGAGGAAGTTTAGGAAGCACATCGATAATAATAATCTTAACACATTATTATTACGACTTTTATCATTTCTCTTTCATTTAACACTAATTTTGGCATTTAATACAAACTTAGTACATTTCCTTGAAATATACATATAGCATTCACTATTCTGTAAAAGTGTAAAAATTTTTAATACATTAACATACAAAGAAATGTAGGATATTTTTATGGTTCGAAAGTGAGTGCATGGGAACACTTGGGATCATAGATCAGTTATTAGCCTAATATTTTAGTTATACTTTACTCCTGGTCTCATTCGTAAGCTCGTAATAAATATATATATTAGAATAAAATAACATCTCTTATTGTTCATATTTGCCAAAAACAGTATCCCTACATAAATATTCATTCTTCGTAATCCTGAATGTGCAGGATGCTGTTGTAAATACTATACAAACAAATAGTAGAATTTTTATTTCTTTTTATTTTTTTATTTTATTTCTTATACAAAGATAAGTTAAATGTGTGGTATAACATATTTTTCCTCAAGTTTCAATCATTGAGAAATCGATTCTGATAACGCGTTAAATATGTGTGCAATTATACTGTTGTAATACTTAACGGATAAAATTTTTTGGAAATTCCTTCGATAAGACACCCGTTATATGGACACTATATACAAAGACAATAGACATTGTATTATCGCGTAACTAACCATATAGTAGTTACACGTGCGCTAAGTATGTCCGAAATGATTTTTTCGAAAATTAGGCTTTGAGTGGGAAAATAATATTATATATTTCCAATTTATTTTTGCAAAAAGAAATCACGATTAGTTCCCTCATTGAACCTTATCTTATCTATGCGTACAAATCCATATATATACAACAGTTTTTCGAAATCGATTTTTCTTTTTTGGACTATAAGCTTTGAATGAAAAAATTATATTCTACGTTTTCGATTTATTTTTCTATCTATATGTCTAATTGTAAGTATGTAAGTATCTCTACGAATCGACTTGCAATAAGTAAGAAGAGCGAATCGTAACTTCCGGAAAAGAAACAATATGACACATGTAGTAAGAAGAAAATTCCAAGATTATATCGGTAAAATTAGAAAATGGTTCAACAATATGTACGATATTTACGAGAAAGGTTTAGTGCAGATGTGAGCCGTGGTGGCGCTAGTGAGTTAAATCGGAAACCGTCTTAAGACTGCCGAAACGTTTACTCGTGAAAGGATTAATAGACGTCTTTATCTCATCGTTATTAAAATCTT